GCGGGGCGCGGCGCCTTGGGCGGGAGGCTCGCGATGCTGCCCGCTGCTCCCGGCCGGACGTCGGGGAGAGCGAGGCTCAGAGCGCAGCGAGGCCGGGGGCGCCCGGCGCAGCTGACTGCAGGGAGCCCGCGCCCTCTCCGAGCCCGGAATCCCACCGGATTCCCAGCTGCGCCGGAGGGAGCTGCAGCCAGAGAGCGCTGAGCCGGAGCGAGGGACCTGAGAAAGGGGAGGGGAAACGCGGCGCAGAAACACGCCCTTTCTGCCTCTCTTTCTTCCTCTCGCTCTTGCTTCGTCTCTCGGGCTCCGTCTCTTTTTCTTCCCCTTTCTCCTCCTCCTCTTCTTTCTCCTCCTCTCCTCGCTCCTTTTCGTTTTCTTCCTCCTCCCCCGCCTCCTCCTCCTCCACCACCTCCTTTTTTTCTTCTTCTTTCAATTGGGGCCTCGGCGTGGCGGCCGCTCCCTCTGCGCGCCCGGGCGCGGCGGCCCCCTCCCCAGGCTGCCGGGCCGCTGCCTGCAGGAATTTACAATCCGGCGCTGGGGGAGCGGGCCCGGTCTCCATGGAGACGGCTTCCCCGGGAGCAGGGAGGTCAGGCGCAGACCGCGCACAATCAATGGATCAATGCAAGCCCCGCTCGGCTCCAGACCAAACAGCACCGAGCTGCGGCTCGTCCTCTCTGCCTGCCGCCCGGAGAGCGGGGGAGCAAGGGTGCGAGCGGCGCAGGTTTTCACGCACACCTCTGCCGGGAGACAAAGAGGGCGCGAGGGGTCGAGGAGGCTGTGGCAGAGGTGGATGCACGGGCGCTCGGGCGTGCCCACGACACAGCTCGAGACGCGGGGCACAGCCACTGAGCACTTCCAAACAGATGGCCCCCGACTCCGGCCAAGTCACGTCTTCCCAGCTCTTACCTCCATCTCACCCCGTCCTCTGGACTCTATCCCAAACCTAGATCTGAGTCTACTTTGAGGAGGAAAGTGGCCTTCTCCTGCTAAATCTGGTAGCTCCAGGGCAGTTAGGACCTTGGAGGTAAGTCCTCTGAGCCGCGCTTCCCAGACAGACGTGGATACACGTGTACACACTTCTGAAAAGCTAACCCACAGAACCATGCCGATGTGTGTAAGCACCAAGGCACAAGGCACAAGCACACTCCTCCAAGCCTGCACCCACGGCTTCCAGAGGTGGGCCCAACCTTAACCCTTCATCCCCTCAACTACGGGGGATCCCAGGATCTGTTCAAGTAGGGGCAGATGGTGTTGAAGGAGCAATGTCCCCCAACCACCGGCACTGCCTCCTGACCCCTTTCACAAGGTCTGCGCCCCCTGGCCTTGCTCTGTAGGGGAAAGAAGAAAGATCTTGCGAGAGGTGTGAGGGCTTTCTTGGGATGTGGGGCTGTGATCAAACTGATCACACCAGGTCCCAGCAGGTGCTCAGAGACAATCTGCTGTAGGGCAGAGGCAGCCCCCAGATCAGCCTCCCAGGGGCTCGGGAGGAAAGAGCAATGGCCAAGCTTTCCCTAAAGATGACATGGCCATTGGCATCAGCTGGGGTCAGCTTTGTCAGCAGCCTCCATGCCACCTAGGAGGAAGAGCTGAGCTCTTCTTTTCGTAGGGATTGAATGGAAAAGCTTTGGGTTTCCTGTTCTGGCTCTGTCGGTGGATGAAGGTGATCCCTGGCAAGTCTCCTCTGAATGGGCCTCCGTTTCCTCATCTGGACAACAAGAGGATGGCTTCATCTGAGGGTAGAAGGGGACAGGAGAAAGCAGGGGAGGAGGTCTTGAGAGCCCTTGGGAGAGGTGAGAGGTGACAGTGAGGAAGTGAACACACAGGCTATGGGAATGGTATGGAGACCACGGAAAGGTTGGGTCAGATAATCTCTGAGGTCCCTTCCATCCCTGTCACTCTTTAAGATTCCCTCCCTCTCATTCCATTGAAAAACCCCTCCCCTTGCAGCAGCTTTGCCTGCTGCCACCAATTATGTGCAGGGCTGGAGGACAAGTGCAAACTTGCCACCCTTTTAGCCCCAAAGAAGAGAGTGGTTAAAAAAAAAAAAAAATTGAAGGTTGCCAGAGAGTGCCTGTGATCTACGCAGGGACACTGAGGAAGCTCCCACACTGCCTGCCTTGGCTTTGCCACTGCCGCTGGGTCCCTGGGGTGGCGGGATGTGTTCCAGCCCACCTCTCCCTCACAGCCCTGGTGGGCGCAGGGGATTGTGCAGGGTCTCCTAGTGGGACTGTTGCCCTGGCTTTCAGGAAAGGAGGCTCAGGTGAGCTGCCCCACCCAAGGCACTGCACCTCTGGAGGGTGAGGTGTCTTTTACCCTACTTTCCTTTTGTCTCATCCTATCAGTTCTCCTGGGATCATTTCCTCTGCTTCTCCAGAACCAGGAAAGCTCCTCCTCCACATCTGCCCTCTGCCTCCCTTCCGCACCCCACTGAACACTCAGTCTGGTTCCAGCCCACCCCTCCCACTTTAGAGGATTCTGTAGGGGTAGAAGCAGGGATTGTACCATCAAGGCACTGTAAATTGGGTCCTGGCCACATTGTCCTCTGCCTTGTCCTCTTCTACAGGGAGCCACACTTGGACATCAAATCAGGAAGAAGCAGCAGCCTATGACACCTCATAACTAGCGGAGTCAAAGTGTGGAGGGACTGTGGGCTTCCCACATTCACCTCTCAGGCTGCAGTTTGCTCTTAGGCTCTGCTTCCTTCGGGGGTGCTTGTGCTACTCATTTCTTTCAAATTTCTCCTGAAAATAAATCTGGGGCGAGGACCAGCTAATCAGCTGATAAATCAAGCGGAGCTGATCTATCTCAGTCAGATTCTTTTAGGGCCATCTCTGCCAAGGGTCCCACCACTCTCAGGAACCTCCCCTACCCTGCCAAGTCTCCTTCTTTGAGTCTTTGCTTTTTCTGCTCCTCAGCTTCTCCGTATGTGAAAGGAGTCCAACAGCCCTACCTTGACGGGCAGTGTAGTCTATTAGGAAGCAGGTACGAGCCAGAACAGATGGCCCCAAGGTCAGTGTCAGGCCCCACCAACTCCCAGCCATCTGTCTCTCTTCCTGGAGAGTTATTTCACTTCTCGGAGCTGAGCTTTCTCATCTGGAAAATAGTTATGGTCATAACACTTCAGAGTGTACATCAGCGTCTCACTGTACGGGCTCTAGAGCTAAACAAATGTGCGGGTCAAATCCCAGCTCAGTTACTCTGCCTGTGTGACTTCTGGCAAGTTTCTCAGTCTTAGCTTTATTTTCTCACCTGTAAGAGGATCAAAAACTCACAGGGTTATGGTATTAAATGAGATAATGCAAAGAAAACTCCGGGTACAGAGTTGGCATGCCATTGGTGGAGGTGGCTGTTCATATTTCCACGATTCCTCAGAAGAAACAAAGGCCACAGTGTTTGATGGTCAAGGTACAAGTCGTGCCTGCAAAGGAGCAGCCTTGGCCCGGGCCAGGCTTCGATGCTGCTGGGCGTCAGGGCAGCCAGCATGGTGATTCTCGTCACCCCTAACAGGTTCCTGTCTGTCACACATTCCTACCAAGAAGGTTCCAAAAATTCCATTCATTCCAGCACACAGTCTGTGTCAGCAGTGCTTCTCCAATATGGAGAGAGAAGGAAATTCACCTGCCAGGTGGGCAGCTCCAGAATCTCTGCTTCGAACACATCTTAATCTGCCTACAGAAGGCACAGATATTCTGAGACATAATTGGAGCTCCCCCACTTGCTGGGTGCTTTCAACATGCCAGGCACTGTGCCAGGCCCTCCAGCAGGAATCCCCATTTTTATTGATGGGAAAACTGAGGCTCAAATAGGATGACGGAGTACAAAGCTTGTATGCCTCCTTTTCTCTCTTTCCTGCCTCCTGAGAATCCACAGAGACGCAGTGCACTCTTGTCATTCTTACAGCCTGTCCTTTGGGGCAGGATGAGCGTCACATCCAGGGCTTCCTTTGCTCTGGAGGGTCTTGCCGCGGCAGATCTGCAGAAGGCTTCAGCCACTGATGAGTGGTCCTGTGACTTGCCCATTTCACACAACATATTAAAACAGGGAAGGGAGGAGCAGAATCCATGTCTTCCTGACTCTTGAGTCCCCGTTCAGCAACCCTTAGACCTCAGACCCCTCAGTAGCCTCTTAGTCTCTCAAAACCAGGAGGACTCCCTGTCGGTTCTCATTCACTCTTCCTCTTCCTGGTGGCTTGTCCAGTCAGCAGTCCTGCCCTCGAGTGGCAGATGGTACTAGTCTACTTCCTACACTGTGCTACCTTCTGAAGAGGGTATGGGAGAATAGTGAATGGGCATCCACTGACTTCATGGGCAAGGGGAGATCTGAGTTGAGTCTGGGCGTCTTTTAGACAAATAAATGGACAAGCTAACAACAAAGGAAAATCAGTGACTGGCAGATGAGAGAAAGAGAATAGCCAGCACAACAGGGAGAGAAGAAAGGAGGGAGGGGTGGCGGTCTGCACTGGGCTGGCGGACAGGCGGTCCCGGCCTGTCCTTGTCTGTCACTCTTCTGGGATGGCTCACGAGTCACTGCCAGAAAGGCAGAGGATTGCAAGTAAGGCTCTCTCAGAGTCTGCTCCAGCCCTGGGACTCTAGGAGTAGCTTGCTTCCAGGTCCTCAGTCTTGCTTTTGCAGAGAGGTCCCCGGGCAGCCCTGCCAGTGCACGGGAAAGAGGTAACTTGGTCCCAGCTGCCCACGCCTGTCCCAGCCTCTCCTTTGGCCACCTCCCCTGGCCCCTTACCTCAGTTTTCCCCCACACTCTCCTCCCTGCGCGCCTCCATACCTGAGTCACTTTGACACCTGCTTTCTGGCTGCTTCTGTGAAGGAGACAGATTTCCCACTTTGCACCAAGACCAACGCGCTTCTGAGGAGCTCGCCACCCCTGGTGTCCACCTCGGCACCTTCCCCCCTCTTCCCCCCTCTTCTGGCGCTGGCCTCTCCCCAAGGTCTCTGGCAGCTTCCGCAGCTCCATGACCAGACGCCTGTGCTTATCTAGCTTCACCTGTCTGCAGCCTGCACAACCTCTGAAAGGTTTTTCTTTCCCTTCGTGAAGCCCTTTCTTTTCCTGAATCTCCAGTCAGCTCTCCACCCACTGGCCTTCCCCACCCCCACCCCCGTACTGGGAATCGAACTCACAACCTTGCGCTTGCCAGGCAGGCGCTGTGCCGCTGAGCTAAATCCCCAGCCCCCCGCTGGCCTTTTAAATGCAGCAGGACTGGGGACATCTAGCCCAGATATTGTCACTTCTCACTCTCCACGACCAAGAGAGGCCAGGGTGGTGGGCAGAATACTGGCTGTGCGGTCAGACTTTCCTGAGGTTACGCCCCGGGCCCCATGGACAAGTTTCTTCACCTTTCTGACCTGCACCTTCTTGCCAATGACCCCAAGTTGACGTCCGTAAGTCCCGTTTCCTTCTAGCTCTCATTCTCTATATCCAGTTTGCAGAGCTGCGTCTTAGGTCCCGTCTCATTTTTCCCATCTATTCTGTATTTCTGCCTGTTTTATAAAGGACTCCAAGTGTATTTTTCAGGACCTCAAGCTGCATCTCCCCCCAGGCGAGCTC